ATCGCGCGCTGTCGGGTGCCTCTTCCTCCGCACTCCCTCTACCGTTGGAAGTGTTGCTCGGCGTGCCGCAAGCAGTACCGCGAGTACCAGCGCGACCGCCTCAGCCGCCTCGCCGCGTCCAACATCACCGCCGCCGTGAGTACCGAAGGCACCGAGGGCACTCCGAGCACTACGAGCACTCCGCTGCAGCCCTCACCATCTGCTCCGGCCCCAGCTCCACGCCCATCACGCACGCCCGCCGAGGTGGAGGCGATGCGCGCGCATGCCGCGCAGAAGGAGTGGCAGCGCAAGGAGAAGGGGCGCGCGCTCGAGCTCGCCGGTGTAGCGACGCCCTCACGCCGGCGAGCCACGGACATCGTGGAGACATGGAACGTCGCGCCGACCGTGCAGCTGCAGCAGAAGCAGAAGCGGGTCGCGGGCGCGCGCGTGTGTGAGGGGCGCGCGTGCGAACATATTATACCCGGCGCGGAGGAGTATTCCTGGTCGATGTGCGGGGGCTGCAGGGCGCGCGAGCAGCGGAAGGCCGAGCGCGCGTTGGTGAAGGAGGGGAAGTCCCCGGCGGTCAGCGCAGTGCAGGATAGCAAAGACGACTTCCCGGTGGTGAGCGCTTCTTTGTCGTGGGTGCATTGCGTGAGATTGACCGGCGTTTGTTGTAGGCTGAGGAGCAGAAGCCGGGGCGTTGCATGTATGCGGACTGTGGGATGCTCATGCCTCCCGCAGATGCGGAGGTGGCCGCCACGGAGTGCGTGCAATGCATACGTCGTAAGCTGCAGCGCAGACCGCCGGGCAGACCACCCGGGAGTCGAAACAAGCCGAAGTCGGGCCCTGCGACACAAGGAGACGGGAAGGCCGCTGCACACAGCCCACAACCGACTGCGCCAGAGAAGGTGCCGCCCTTCCCATCTTTTTCATCTTCCAGCCTTTTGCTGACCCAACCATAGCCAATCGAGGTGCCGCGGAAGCGCAAGCGGGTATCGCCGTATCCCGCTTACCAGTGCTGCGACGCGCTGCTCAAGGACTTTGGTACCCGCTTCCACGGTTTCATCGAAGCGCAGTCGTACTACTTTCTCATGCGCGGCAACGGCGGCGCAAGCGCGCAGCCCCCCGCGCAAGCCATGTTCGACTTTAGTGGGGAATACTCCGTCGTCGCGATGAACTTGGACGTCGTCGCGCGCAAGGCGGAAATCGAGGTGGACGTACACAACGTCAAGGACGCTGTTGCGCGCGCAGGTGGGCTCGAGTTCAGCCCGACGAGCTGGGTGAGCATCCTCGGCAAGCCTGGCGGCGTCGTGACGCGCTTCGCGTGCGTGCATCTCGTCAGTGTCTTCCTCCCCATCCGCATGCCGCCGGGCCACCCACCCTACCCCGCGCACACAAAGAGCATGCAGGGTGAGCTTGAGATCGCCGTCCTCCCCGACGACTCGCATAAGTACTTTCCGGGCGAGAAGACGATCGTCAGGTTTCGGCTCGTTGGATGAGGGTGCTGTTTTTATCTATATCTTATATCTTGCGTTTGTACGAATTTTGCTGTTATTCTTGCATTGTAGATATGATTTTCGTAAGTAGATTAAGTACCCAATTAAACAACTGTATTTCTTCCACCTATTATCGTGTGCTCGAAGCCACGACATAAAGGATTCTATGGCGTGAATTCGACGTCTGGGACCCCAAACCAGCGGGGAAGGTTGAGCCATATGTGCAGTCGAAGCGCCGAAATAATGTTGCACACCCCCTTTGCACACCCCGGACATATCTTCATCTTCGGGGCCCTTTCTGGCTCGGAGATGTATAGCCGCAGGTAGGTCAGTGCACCGAGGATGTCGTGAGTCTCCTCCGCCAGGTCTCGCAGCGCAACGAAGAGCGCGTCGCACCCGGGGGTGCAGTCCGCGCTTCGCGTGGGCTTCTCGAATACCTTAGTGAGTGTCTTCTGCGACCGCAGCTGGTCCTGGCCCTTGGCGACGCAAAGGAGGTCCGCGGGCGAGAGAAGGGTCCAGCGAGCGGAGCGCGTGCCGCGAGCGAGCCTAGCCGCGCATTCGGGGAGGAGCCATGCGGCTGGAGCGTGGAAGGTGTCGTAGTTGACGGAGGGGCTGATAAGGGAGAGGGTATAGAATGCTACGGGGAGCAGCTCTGGGATGCCGAATTCGCGCGCAATATTGATGATGGAGGCGGGCTCGGGGAAACGATCGTCGAGGTATTGGCCGTTAATTTGGCCTTGGGGAGCGTTTGCGTGGGCGATACCTAATTTTCTTATGCGTGTTTCATGTTCTTCCCAAATCGAAAGGGACGTTGGCCATTCAAATTTGAGTTGGTATATAACGCTTGCAGCTAGATGGGAAATCTGGTATTTCCGACAAAGCCGAAGGAGTCCGCCTAGGTCAACGTCCACTGTAGGTTCTTCACGGTTGAAGGGCATGTTTCTGGGGGGAAATGATGAATAAAAGTTATTCACAAGTTGGTCAAACTCACAGCGGGTAATACAAACATCGGAGCAGCACTGCAAGGTCTTTAACAGGGTCGTTGACCTGCAAAATTTGGACGTCTTCAACTGCTTCAATGCTTTCTTGTTGAACCGCGCATGAATTGTGAAATATCTCCGAGAATATCGGGGAATGAACGGAAAGCCTGTGTTTGTGGACGAGAAAAGAAGGTGATTCTGCCGACGTGGTACTCGGATAGATAATGATGTCGCCATCTTCAAACCACAGTCCCGGGTAGTTCATGGCCAGAAAGTCGACGGTGCAAGGGAAAATCGAGACAGAAAGCTTTTTATAGTTACTCATCCAAAGCGTTGACAATAGCGAAAGCTGGCCCAAGCGTCCGTCTCATGGCAAAGCTCAAACACTGCGAGGTCCGAGCGTGATATAATGCCCAAGCGTCAAATTTCGGTTCGAACGCGTCAAGCTGAAAGGCCGAAACAAAATCAGCGAATTAAAGCTCGACGCCGCTGAATGAAGTTGGTGACGGTTGCCGTAGGGGCTCATGAAGCGCCGCCGCGGAGTCTTTAGTCGAGCAGGACCCATCTTTTACCCACGCAAACTCTGAACTGTTGTTAGAGTCGGTGCTGCCGGGGAACGTCGTTTGCGCGACTTTTGCAGCCGAATGACAGTCCACCGTGGTGTAAATTGCATTATGCCGAAAGCAGAGGAAACATCAGTGTTCAGAGAACGTCTTGCCTGGTCTACTACCAGGCACCATGCGCCACCGCACGAACGATAGCGGCAAGGGCAGCAACTAGCGTGATACGTCTGTTAAGCGTTGGTGAATACAAAGGCGATTGTGTTACGTTACTTGTGTACGCGTCTTGATTCAGGTTGAAAAGGAGCCTTTCAAGTGTGATTGCCAACCACTTCCTCCTCGCCCTTCCTCCTTCCCTGGCCTTGTCTTTGCTGCTCTCAAGTCGTCTTGGAGCCTTCTTTGAAGCCGCCTATATCCCTCCTTTCACGCCGACCACGATGGCCACGAACTATAGCATCTTCTACAAGTCGGGCTTGCACGCCCACGCTGCATCCGTGTACACATACAACCACCCCAGGGACGAGGACATGGACCACGAGAACGCTTCACATTCATCCACGGGCGACCTCGTATACTTCCCCGCAGCTTCTGCCTACCATAACCCCCCCGTTAATACCAACTCTCGAGCCCAGAACGCCCGCTCACCCTCCCGGAAGCGTCGCTCGAGCATCACCTCCTCGGCATCCCCAGTCAGCGCCATGAAGCTCGCCAGGTCCCCCGCCCGCGCCGCAGGCAATGCGTGGCACATGGCTCATCTCGCCAGCAACTCACCTGGCAGATCCCGTAGCGCGAGTCTGAACGTCGCCAGCGAGGATACGAGCATGCTTGGACGCATGCGCAGTGGCAGCGTTGGTTCTCGGTATGTCTGCTTGATATTCAATTTCTTTTCAAGTTCACTCACGCCCTAATCTCTAGTCTTCGTACAAAGAAGCCGTTGACGAACCGGCGTCCCGTTGCCCTGCTATTTGCACCCACCCCGCCACCTCCCAGTGCTCCCCTCCCAGCTCTGCCTCTGTGCGCCCCCGCCCGGCCACCCTTCTCTCGTTTAGCAATCCAACCCGCTCTGCCGGTAGCAGGTGTATTTTATCAGTCCCCCGCCTCGCCCGTCCCCTCCTCCCCCAGCACAGAATTCTACCACGCTCCCGGCGTATGGAAGGGATTCAGCACCATCGACGAGGAGATGAAGGAAAACTGACTCAGCGGGACAGGATGTCGCAGAAGAACTTGTTGTACGATTTGAACGGTGCTTGATCCTGTGTCTTTTATCTGTATTCTTTCCCTCCTCTATCTTGTTTGAGTGGCCTAATCTCGTAGGCCCCACATAGTTCACACACTCCTTAATTATTGGCTCGATGCCAGCGTTCAGTTGTTAATCATCCTTGCAATAATCATGCACGTTGCCACACATCATTTTTTCGCGGGTCGTCTGACGTCGGTTCAACTGCGTTGTTTTGTGGTGTTTGCATACAGCCTCCTCTCGTGATCGCGTCACGTCGCGCTCCTGCGGGCGATTTCTGGATCAGCCAATCCTTCCCACGACCCACCCCCCCAGAAAAGGCAACTCCCATCAGTTGCCATCAGCTCAAGCCAATTCATTTATATTCAACCAGTGCTCAACTGCATAAATTATGTAGCAAAATTAGCTCCTGTAGCTATCCTAAAGCTAATATCACGTTTTTTCAATGGTCTCTGGTCTGAGGAACACAAGAAAGGTCGTCGCGGCAGTGATGATCAGCTTATATAATCGAATTAGTTGATCCAGAGATCGCTCACCTCTTGCTCCTCGCAGCTGCACTGCTTCCGCATCCATCTGCCAACTCCGAGTGTAAATGAGGGCGCTTCCATCCCTCGCGCTATGGCTGTCCTCAGTTGCGGCCGGGCTCTTGTTGTCAGTGTCACCAACTCAATCGACATCGTTATCTACCGCTAAGTACTTGTGCAATGCAAAATTGCGAATGAAGGATGCGAAGCGCAAAAAACAACACTGGCCATCGTGGGGGTCGAACCCAAGACCTTCGCGTATTCATCTTGATAAGATATTAGCACGACGCTCTAACCAACTGAGCTAGACGGCCGTGGAGTGACGGGCGGGTAGAGCATATGTGTCCATCAAGCATTCGGCGTCGTGCCATGCAAGGTACTGTAACATTTGATATCGACTAGATTGCAAATGAACGTTGCATGAACGACTCTAACGACCAAAATCGTGATTGTCTTCAGTGCTTAGACTTGCCCAGTATAAGTACCAGCTTCGGAAATCTTGCAACCACTGGCAATGTGTTTTTTTCAACTGCGCAGTACAGTTGATTTCTGGGAAATTTGTGCTGACAGGAATTGCGACTCGAACTTGAAAGACCCAACCGGATAATTGGACTCCCGCCCCTAAATTCGCCGAAATTTTCAAGTTGGTTTCCCCTTGACCCCTCTCAGTCCTAACCAATGTTTTATTGGTAATGCCCCCTGTCGGTACCGCCTACGACATGACGTTGTTAACGGCAACGGCGATTCAGGGGAGTGCCTTAATGAAAGCTTTTTTTGCAATTCAGTTTTAACGAGACTTTTTAACGTAAGCCTATCCTATCCTATCCTGTCATCTCCGTTCGCGTTCACCATGTTGTTGTTTTTGCTCACCGTCCTGGTCGCTGGTGCATTCGCCACCCAGATCACGACCGACAGCTCCGTTGCGTCGGGCAATACATTCGATTATGTGAGTTTGTCCTATGAACCTCACTATACATTCTGAGGGACTTTTCTAGGTGGTTGCGGGGGCAGGGTACGCCATGCTCCGCTATTTATCGCCGTGACTAATTGGGCTTTGGTAGTCTTTCTGGAATCGTCGTCGGCACCAAGGTCAAAGAATTTCTCGATCCGTTTGTCCAAAGATTTACCGACCGAGCAGTTGAGCGCCAAGGGATATAGTGTGCTGCTCATCGAAGCAGGCAAGGATTCGTCTCTCTCGGGCCGACGCTACAACGTGCCTAACTCGTTCCTCTAGGAAAGGACCTTCAGAACAACAGTGCCATCTTCAATGCCGAACTTCGAGGGAGTGAGACAACTGTTTCTTCCCGCAGAATGGCCGTGGATTGACTTGCTTTAAACAGACCTGAGCAACGACCCCGCTACCGATTGCAATTGGCACTACGTCGCCAGTGATGTGAATGGTTCCGCCCTTCCCATAACAATCGACAGCGGAAAGTGTATTGGCGGAAGCTCCTCGATTGTAAGAACCTCACCTTTCCTCATGGGCCAAGGGCTCAGTTATGTGTTCATGGGTTTATCGTTTATCTAGAATGGCATGGTTTGGTACCGGTGAATTTCTTTTCGGACACTGTATGTACATGCCGTTTGGAATATTCACAAAATATTTCAGGCCAACAAGCACGGAGCTCGATGCTATCGAAAGCCTGGGAAACCCCGGCTGGAATTCTACGACCCTCTTCCCGGTAGGTCTCGTCTTGGGATCCATCATTTCTTGTCTGACCTCAACATTGTGTAGTATATGAAGGCAATCGAACATAATCATCCTCCTTCGTCAGCTCAAAGAGCGGATGGCGCCAACCTTGTACCTGCAGACCACGGCTTCAAAGGGCCCGTCAACGTATCCTTCCCTGTTCCGATGAGAATCCCGGAAGCACAAGCCGTCTACAAAGCCGCAATAGCTCTCGTTTTTGGCATTGACGACAGCCCTGACCTTAGCGCCCGCACAGGCAGCGTCTCCGCGTCTACGTATGCCATTGTGTGCTGACCCTTTCCAAGCGCTGAAATAGTTTCATAGCTCTTGGACAATTTGGTGGGATCCTGTTGCGGAAGTCACACGGCGCGCGTCGGCTGCATATTCTCTCTTATATCCTCAGTCGCAGCAACAGGATACGCTCACCGTTTTAGCTGAGCACAAGGTTGCCAAGGTCGTCTTCAACAAGAATTTGAAAGCGACTGGCTTGCAGTTCGGTCCAACTAGTGGCGGGAGTCTGTATACCGTGAATGCTAGATATGAGGTCCTTCTTGCTGCTGGAAGTCTTGCTGTAAGTTTTCCGATACATCTCTGCTGCTGTGCTGATGGAAAACCATTAGACGCCTCCTGTCGGTTCAATTCTTCCCCAATTAGTTTCTCGTCTGAAGCTTCCCTTTCTCAGATTCTGGAACGTTCCGGCGTGGGCAGAAAATCGTGGGCTATCCTGTTCCATCTAATTTAAAGAATCTCACTTTTTTCAGTGTCTTGGACGCAGCTGGTGTCAAGCAACTCGTGGATTTACCAGGTGCATAACAAGTTCAATTAACCAAGTTGTGGTCTTACCTTGCACGGCAAGTTGGCTTGAACCTGCAGGATCAACCTGGAACTAGTCTTTCGGCGCTCGTGCAGCCAGCCAATGATTCGAACACTTTGCTAATCGATAATGTTAATCAAATCATCCCTCCCGTTGTCCATTTTTCTGACGGTTCTTGACAGCGCAACATCTTTGCACCTGGTGAGTTCGCCCGTTGTTTTTGAGCGTCGGCTAACCAACCACTTTTAGTTATCACTTTGCTCAACATCGACCAGCTATTCGGCAACCGTTCGTTGTCTTCATCTCTCATGATGCCATGTTTTACTATTGGGTGTCAATACAGAATCAGCCATAATTTCTGCGAATCTGCAGAAGAACATCAAAGCCTACGCAAAAGCAGCAGTTGCCGCCGGCACGGAATTAAATCTCGCTGGAGCCACTGAACTGTTTACTACAGTGACGGAATTGATCACCAAAAACAAGATGCCCATAATAGAACTCATATCAGAGTCGGCCTCATCTGTCATGTTTTCCGTCTTCGTTCGTACTCTTGCTTGCATTTGCATCCTTTCTCTCTCTCAACGTGACACTTGCTAGTGGCCGCTGACCCCGCTTTCGCGTGGGACCGTCCATATCGAGACTTCGGATGTGAGCAAAGTTTCAAAGCTAGTTTCATCGGAGCTAATTATTGCCATCAGCCATTTGCTAATCCCAGAATAACACCTCGATTCCTTTCGGTTGATTTCGATGTCGACGTTGCGGTCGAGATATCGAAAAAGGCGCGCTCCTTATACCGGACGTCTGCATTCGCACCGATTATATCCGAGGTGGTTATTGATGCAGTTCCTGACAACGCGACGGACGCTGAGTGGGCCGCGTGGTATGCGAGCACCTCATTTGTAAGTCCACTTTCTGCTGCGGTTCTCTACATCAGCTAAACAATATTTAGGGAGCTTCGCATTGGGTACGCCGATTGTTTCCATTGATAAAACTCGGTTCTGAACTTACTCGCAGCTTGGATCGTGCGCTATGCGTCCCCGCGCGTCGGGCGGTGTTGTTGCACCCACACTCAAGTGCGTCGACCAGTGATTATAAAATCTCTCGGCTTATCATCTCAGGGTTTACGGTACTTCTGGACTGCGAGTCGTCGATGCCAGCGTAATCCCCTTCCAAATGACCAGTCACACCATGTCGACGATTTATGCCTTCAGTCAGAAGGCTGCGGATTTGATTCTCGCCTCCCGATAGCTTCTACAACATATACATATATATACGCGTTCCGTTGGCATTAATGTAGTTAGGCCACTTGAAAGAAATGTTTAATCATGTGATCGTGTTTTCTTCGGGCCGGCTCACCCTCGACTTTCCCATTGCCATGCGCTCGCAAATAATCTGCAGCGTCCTCCGCGCCTCAGCGCGCCCTAGTGTCGCGCGCAGAGCCCTTCCCACCGTCGCTCGCAGTCGCTTATACAGCGACCACCCGGAGGAGACATTCGAGTCTTTCACCGAGCGCTACGTAGATTTTTTCAACAAGGCGGAGGACATCTTTGAGGTGCAGCGTGGCCTCAATAACTGCTTCGCCCACGATCTTGTGCCCGCCCCATCAGTAATAGAAGCCGTTGTGCGCGCATCGAGGAGGGTAGACGACTTTGCGACCGCTGTGCGCGTCTTCAATGGTGTCAAGGTCAAGGTTGAGAACAAGAAGCAGTATCAAGATTACTTGGATGAACTGAAGGGCGTCCGGGAAGAGCTTGGTGCGTTTTCTCGTCTCTCAATGATCTCTAGCTCTGATACCCACTGCTTTAGGCATAACATTAGAGGAAGAGCTCTATCCAGAGTGGGAAAAGTAAAACTCTGTCTACAGTGCGTTTCATGTTCACGTTTCTTCGAAAAGTCAGCGGTTGACTTATCCGTTGCCAGCCAAAATGATGACGCCACATCGCTTTTTGTAATAATTGTTGTCCGCGGTGTCTTGAATAGATCGCAACTGTTGGGTCGTGTTCCGAGAGGGCTCGAGTCTATGTTCCTGCCATCTTGAAAACTGCCTGAATAACAAAAAACTCAGCCTACGTCACGGTGACGCGTATGTATGCTTGATAAAACTTGGCTCGTTCCCTGGGCAATCTTCCGGTCCGAAGGGGAAAAGACAGACAACCACGCTGAAATTTCTTTTCTTTTCGTGCTCATCCAGTCTTCTGACCGCCGATCCCTGATCTTGGTCTTCGTTCATCCGCAACGATTTTCGTGATCCCACCCTGCAAGCGCATCACGTGTCCATCCGTCCAGGAGAGCCTCCGAACCGGCCATGCGTATCGCTGAAAGCTGCTGAAAGATTACAAAAGTTTACTCCGAACGATGTTCACCTCCGAGGTATAAAAACTACCGTGCTTTATGCACCTGTTTATCAGCTTCGTCCAGAATGCTATCGACTCTGTTTCTGAGCGCCATGGGCATGGCCCTCGGCTCTGCGACTCTGGTATCCTCTTTGGGCACATCTTGCACAGCTCCGCTTGGGGCTGGAACGTATGTTCTATTTTTCGGGACCCGTACGTGTAACTTTTTTTTTTTTTTTCAGTGCAGCGCCAGGCGATCCGTTCTGGATGCAGAATATCAAGCATCAGGGGATTGCTGCGTTCAACCCCAATCCAACGACCTACCAAGTCTTTAGAAACGTAAAGGATTTCGGAGCCAAAGTGAGAAAACATTACGTTTGGAAGTGACCTCCCAGATTGATTCTCTGAGATTCTAGGGTGACGGAGTTACGGATGACACGGCAGCCATCAAGTATTTTATTTCATCCAGTGGAATGC